TCTTGTAATGTGTGTGGTGCATGAATCTTTGTTAGAGTGTGTGGTGCCAGGAATCTTGTAGTGTGTGTGGTGCCAGGAATCTTGTAGAGTCTGTGGTGCCAGGAATCTTGTAGTGTGTGTGGTGCCAGGAATCTTGTAGAGTGTGTGGTGCCAGGAATCTTGTAGTGTGTGTTGTGCCAGGAATCTTGTAGAGTATGTGGTGCCAGGAATCTTGTAGTGTGTGTGGTACCAGGAATCTTGTAGAGTGTGTGGTGCCAGGAATCATGTAGAGTGTGTGGTGACAGGAATCGTGCAGTGTGTGTGGTGCCAGGAATCTTGTAGTGTGTGTGGTGCCAGGAATCGTGCAGTGTGTGGTGTGAGAATCTTGTAGAGTTTGTGGTGCCAGGAATCTTGTAGTGTGTGTGGTGCCAGGAATCTTGTAGAGTGTGTGGTGCCAGGAATCTTGCAGTGTGTGTGGTGCCAGGAATCTTGTAGAGTTTATGGAGCCAGGAATCTTGTAGTGTGTGTGGTGCCAGGAATCGTGTAGTGTGGTGCCAGGAATCTTGCAGTGTGTGTGGTGCTAGGAATCTTGTAGAGTTTGTGATGCCAGGAATCTTGTAGAGTTTGTGGTGCCATGAATTTTGTAGTGTGTGTGGTGCCAGAAATCTTGTAGAGTGTGTGGAGCCAGGAATCTTGTAATGTGTGTGGTGCTAGAGAACTTGTAGAATGTGTGGTGCCAGGAATCTTGAAGAGTGTGAAGTGCCAGGAATCTTGTAGTGTGTGTGGTGCCATGAATCTTGTGGAGTGTGTGGTGGCAGGAATCTTGTAGAGTGTGTGGTGCCAGGAATCTTGTAGTGTGTGTGTTGTGCCAGGAATCTTGTAGAGTGTGTGGTGCCAGGAATCTTGTAGTGTGTGTGGTGCCAGAAATCTTGTGGAGTGTGTGGTGCCAGGAATCTTGTAGAGTGTGTGGAGCCAGGAATCTTGTAATGTGTGTGGTGCTAGAGAACTTGTAGAATGTGTGGTGCCAGGAATCTTGTAGAGTGTGAAGTGCCAGGAATCTTGTAGTGTGTGTGGTGCCAGGAATCTTGTGGAGTGTGTGGTGGCAGGAATTTTGTAGAGTGTGTGGTGCCAGGAATCTTGTAGTGTGTGTGTGGTGCCAGGAATCTTGTAGAGTGTGTGGTGCCAGGAATCTTGTAGTGTGTGTGGTGCCAGGAATCTTGTGGTGTGTGGTGACAGGAATCTTGTAGAGTGTGTGGTGAAAGGAATCTTGTAGTGTGTGAGGTGCCAGGAATTTTGTAGTGTGTGTGGTGCCAGGAATCTTGTAGAGTATGTGGTGACAGGAATCTTGTAGTGTGTGTGGTGCCATGAATCTTGTAGAGTGTGTGGTGCCAGGAATTTTGTAGAGTATGGGGTGCGAGGAATCTTGTAGTGTGTGTGGTGGCAGGAATCTTGTAGTGTTGTGGTGCCATGAATCTTGCAGAGTGTGTGGTGCCAGGAATTTTGTAGAGTATGGGGTGCCAGGAATCTTGTAGTGTGTGTGGTGCCAGGAATCTTGTAGTGTGATGGCAGGAATCTTGTAGAGTGTGTGGTGCCAGGAATCTTGTAGTGTGTGTGTGGTGCCAGGAATCTTGTAGAGTGTGTGTTGCCAGGAATCTTGTAGTGTTTGTGGTGCCAGGAATCTTGTGGTGTGTGTGGTGACAGAAATCTTATAGAGTGTGTGGTGACAGGAATCTTGTAGTGTGTGTGGTGCCAGGAATCTTGTAGAGTGTGGGGAGCCATGAATCTTGTAGCGTGTGTGGTGGCAGGAATCTTGTAGAGTGTGTGGTGCCAGGAATCTTGTAGTGTGTGTGGTGACAGGAATCTTGTAGTGTGTGTGGTGCCAGGAATCTTGTAGAGTGTGTGGTGACAGGAATCTTGTAGTGTGTGAGGTGCCAGGAATCTTGTAG